TGTAGATAAGCCAAGAATTTTAGGTGCCAAAATACATCCCAAAAGATGGTTTTGGCATATCCGCAGATAGGCTTACTTGCTAGTTATTTTTATATGTGTATGTATGTATGTATGTATGTGTATGTCTATCTGTCTGTTTATCTATCTCTCTATATAGTAAAGGTACCCATATATCCCTACATACTTGTGGATAAGCCCATCTGTGAATAAGCAGACCCTCCAATTTTTAACCAAACTACCATGAAAAATATATCAATTTATCTGTGGGTGGTTCATTTTTCATGATATTTTTGTTAAAAATTCAAGGGTTAGTTTATTGATTATGTATTGATTATGTATTATTTAGGTATACAGGTAGCCCTCGACTTACAACAGTTCATTTAATGACCATTCAAAGTTACAACGGCATTGAAAAAAGTGGCTTAAGACCATTGCAGCAGATCCAAGGTCAGTGATCAAAATTCAGACCCTTGGCAACTGACTCATATTTGTGATGATTGCAGTTTTCCAGGGTCATGGGATCACCTTTTGAGACCTTCTGACAAGCAAAGTCAATGGAAAATCCCGATTCATTTAACAACTGTGTCACTAACTTAACAACTGAAGTGATTCACTTAACAACTATGGCAAGAAAGGTCATAAAATGGGGCAAAATCCACTTAACAAATGGCAACAGAACGCTTAACGCTTAGCAACAGAAATGTTGAGCTCAATTGTGGTCATAAGTCTAGGGCTACGTGTAGTGAGTCCTCAACTCACATTCATTTATTCAGAATGTCAAGGTTCCGACTGACGAACCCAATCAAGTCGGTACTCCAAGACAATCAGATTTCTCTAAGAATTGCTTTCATGCATGCCGAAATGAACTGATCGTCTCAGAGCGCTGACTTGGTTGGGTTCATCAGTCAAAACCTTGACACAGAAATCGTTTCAAAAGCACTGGCGAAAAAATGGACATATGGCCAGTTCTGGCCATTGTGGCACCTCTGTCGTTGCAGTCCAGGCACTTGAGTGTGTAGCTTGTGATTATGACATTGCAGGGAGCCATGGTCAGATGATCATTTGCGACCTTCCTGTCAGCTTCTCACAACCAAAGTCAATGGGAAGCCAGCAGGAAATACTGCAAGTTGCTCTGGTAAGTCCCACCACTTTATCGAATGCCATGGCTGCATATGGCCTGCGCTGGCCTTCCCAGAGCCTCCTTGGCCTGCACCAGCCTTCCCAATGCCTTCCCACCCTCCTGGCAGCAGCATCCCTGTGGTTCTTACCTGGGACTCCCAACTCTTCCCATATTTTGGGGTTACAACAGCAATCAGAACTGCCAGGATTGGTGTCAGTAAGCAATGCAGTCACATGGCATTGTGCTTTACAATTGCATTGCTGACCAGTGATAATCCTGGTCCCAATTGGAGTGACTACCTGTGTATATCAGGGTAGGTCATATGTCAGCTATCCTGGTCTTGGTTGTTTAGAATCGTATATACCATAAGCAGGACTACTTGTTCAATAGCTAATAGAAAGCCACTATAATGCTTTCAACATTCTTATAATATGTGCATAGCCTAGAACTCCCACAACTTCCATACACATTTCAGTAACTTCCGGATCAAAAATAATACACACTTCACTGGATGAGTCAAGTCAATGGTCTGAAAATTTTTAATTTGAATTACTCCTTATATCAGAAGATTAGATTTGATGCCTAATGACCTAATCCAGTGCCACGATTTTATGAATTGTATGAATCTGTGACTATTGAACATGGTTCAACATTCTATATCTCACAAGAGACCATGACAGTTCAATTCCCTGATTCCTGATCAGGGAAGTATTCCCTGCATGGAAGAATTCATTGTACTCTAGACAGTTCCCTTCCTCCCTTTTTCATGCTGTTATTTCAATCTTTGGTCAAGATAATGCTCTTAGGTTCTTATTTTGGGGTTGTTCTTATTAGCTGTTTATATAAAGCATAGACTTGCATTGCATTTGGATCCAACGAGTGTTCACAAATGCTTTGGCTGTACTTCAGGATGAGGGATATGGAATTAAATAAAAACATAATGGTCTTTAAAGAAAGATTCAAAGATAGTAGATATTATCAGATTTTAGAATGGCAAACCTGGGAATAAAAAGACATACTAATGGCCCTCAACTTAATGACCATCTGTTTAGTGACTGATATTACAGTGGAACTTTAAAAAAATGACTTATGACCGTTTTTTCACACAACTGTTGCAGCATCCCAAGGTCATGTGATCACCTTTTATGACCACCTGACAAACAAAGTCAGTGGGGAAGCCAGATTCACTTAACAACCATGTTACTAATTTTACTGCAGTGATTCGCTTAACAATTGTGGCAAGATATGTTGTAAAATGGGGCGATTGCTTAGCAAAAGAAATTTTGGGCTCAATTGTGGTCGTAAATCAAGGACTAGCCATAAAAGAAAATTGGGGGGGGGGAAACTATTTTAGAGCAAAAAAGTAAGGCAACAGAAGATATATGGCCAAACTGGGAATATGAAGCCATGCAGAAAGTAACTCTTTTTTTCTCCCAGTGGCAAATGCAAGAAGCTTGACCCCGACTGGGGCTGTATTTCCCATCATAAACCCCATTCTGATTCAGATCAGAGGATTATGCTCTCCATTTACTCAGTTACAAATTCATTTCTTGTGTTTTAGAAAGTAAAAAAGCAAAGAGAGCAGGGATAAAATGCTACCGGTTCGGGCCGGTTCACCCGAACCAGTAGTAAAAAATGCTACTGGTTCGCCAAACCAGTAGTAAAAAAAGTTTTAAAAAAAGTTCCAAAGATCAGCTGAGCGATGCACAATCGTCAGAACTTTTTTTTTTTAACTTGTTAAAGCATTTTTAGTAAAAATGCTTAGTAAAAAATGCTTAAAAAGTTTTTAAAAAAAAGTTCCGACGATCGCGCATCGCTCAGCTGATCTTCGGAACTTTTTTTTTTTAACTTTTTAAGCATTTTTTATTACCAGTTCTCCAGAAAATGCTTTAAAAAGGTAAAAAACAAAGGTTCCGACAATCACAGCTGTGGCATGCAAGCTTGGAAATCTTTTTAAAAAACTTTTTAAAAACATTTTTTACTACCAGTTCTTTGGAACCGGTAGTTAAAAATGCTTTTAAAAAGGTTCTCAAGCTCACATGCCACAGCTGATCCCCCCCCCATCTACTTACCTTCCTAAGCCTCCTTTTGGTGTGTACTGTGCATGCGCTCATAGGACGCGTTTGGTGCACATGCACATGCTTGGCATGCAGCATGCATACGCAGCCAGTGAACCGGCTGGAAAACCGGTTCAGATTTCACCACTGAAAAAGAGACAGTGGAGAACACAATGAAGAGTTTAGAAAGAAATGAAAAGGATGCTGTATTCTGTTTCCCCACAAACAGGAAACTACTATTTGAATTTAAAAGAAGTTTCACATACTGTGTTTGAAGGCGCCATGTATACCAAAATGAAAAATGAATTGCTGACTGAGCTTATTAGACATGGAGCTGATTGTTCAAGTATTGAAGAGAGATAATTTGGATCCGCTCCAGTCTGGCTTCAGACCTGGGTACAGCACGGAAACTGCATTGGTCGCATTGGTGGATGATCTCTGGAGGGCTCGGGATAGGGGTTACTCCTCTATCCTAGTCCTGTTAGATCTCTCAGTGGCTTTTGATACCATCGACCATGGTATCATGTTGCGCCGGCTGGAGGCACTGGGAGTGGGGGGCACCGTTTTGCGGTGGTTCTCCTCCTATCTCTCCAACCGGTTGCAATCTGTGTTGACAGGGGGGCAGCGGTCGACCCCAAGGTGCCTTGTTTGTGGGGTGCCACAAGGGTCGGTCCTCTCACCCCTCCTGTTCAACATTTATGTGAAGCCGCTGGGTGCGATCATCCGTGGTTTTGGGATGGAGTTCCATCAGTACTCTGATGATACTCAGCTGGACATCTCCACCCCAGACCATCCCAACGATGCCTTGGAAGTGATGTCCCAGTGCCTGGAGGCTGTGCGGGTCTGGATGGGGAGAAACAGGCTTCGACTCAACCCTTCCAAGACCGAGTGGCTGTGGCTGCTGGCATCCCAGTATAGCCAATCGGCGCCATCGCTGGTTATTGGGGGCGAATCATTGGCCCCCACAGAAAGGGCCCGCAACTTGGGCGTCCTCCTGGATGCACGGCTGTCTTTAGAAGAGCATATGACGGCCGTGGCCAGGGGGGCTTTTTATCAGGTTCGCCTGATACGCCAGTTGCGCCCCTTTCTGGATCGGGACTCCCTATGCACGGTCACTCAAGCACTCGTCACTTCTCGTCTGGACTAGTGTAATGCTTTCTACATGGGGCTCCCCTTGGGGTGCACCCGGAGGCTCCAACTGGTGTAAAATGCGGCTGCGCGGGGGATTATGGGATGACAGGGCGCTCCCATGTGACTCCTCTCCTGCACGAGCTGCATTGGCTTCCGGTGGACTTCCGGGTGCGCTTCAAGGTGTTGGTGATCACCTTTAAAGCGCTCCATGGCTTAGGGCCGGGGTACTTATGGGACCGCCTTCTGCCACCAATTGCCTCCCACCGGCCAATTCGCTCCCACAGAGAGGGCCTCCTCAGGGTGCTGTCGGCCAGACAATGTCAGCTGGCGACCCCCAGGGGGAGAGCCTTCTCTGTGGTGGCACCTACCCTCTGGAACAATCTACCCCCAGAGATACGAGTGATCCCCGACCTCCGGACTTTTCGTCGGGCCCTAAAAACCTATTTTTTTCAGTTAGCCGGGCTGTCCTGATTTTATGGTTGGTTTTAAAATTTGATATGGATTTTAATTGAAATGTTTTAAATTACGGGCCAAATTTATTTAATTATTTTAAATCTATTTTAACTTTTGTGTATAAATGTTTTATCTTGGCTGTTCACCGCCCTGAGTCCGAAAGGCGAAGGGCGGTATAGAAATTTGAAAAATAAATAAATAAATAAATAATCAGTTGAATGCTTGTTCATTCTTTGCAGATTACTCAGGGCGAACTCCAGAAGTCATGCGCTAAGCCTCTAGTAGAGAAAGCTACAGATAATTGCCAGCATATCTGCCAATGCAGACCACCTCCATTACCACCACCGCCACCTCCACCTCCACCACCAAGGTTGCTTGGGGTTTCACGTAAGTAGAGGTTACCACTGTTTCTTTTTATATTCAGAAAAGCCTAGGAGCATCTGAAAGATTATTAAATAACTGATTGGAAAGAAGGCAATATTTATTTAATGGGTAGGTAGTAATATTTTTCTAATGCAGAATGGGAAAATAGTCATGGCTCAGACAAATGTTGATTGTTTAAGGCTGTTTCCTTAAACATGCATGTTAACATGCAAATCCTTGAATAATGCCATATGGCAAGAATGCTATGCAACGAGGGTGCCATGATCTAGTATGTAGATAAGTTTATAATTTCCCCAATTTACATTCTGTCAAACTTAATGTTACGCATAGCTTTGTGTGTGAATGCATCTGCCTTCATCTCCTGGAGGAAATAGATTACCTAAACCCTTTCAAGTCAAATTTCAGCCCTGGATGACTTGTATTTACATTATCAGCATGTGAATGATACCCAGTTATATATCATGATATATCACAAGTCTAAAAGTGGCCAAGATTGGAGAACCCTGGTATAGAGTATCAAAGTCCCCTTATATAATCTTTCTACTTCAAGAGCCCCACTTGATATTAGTTGGACATGATTGAAAATGCTAGTTCTCAAGTTTCAAGAGTCTGGATATCCACAGGACCAAATTCTCCCTGTGGTTTTTCTCCATGTGGTAGGATTAGAAAGGGTAGGCTGTCTCTGGTTCTCTTCTCTTAGGCATTGTCATCTCCAGGGGCCATGGAATAATACAGCTTTTTCAATTTTAATCACCTCGTGGAACAGAATAGTTCCCAAGATAGACAAACTCCCATTAACATATGGCTTCTTAAGAGAGCCCTGGAGTGGAACTATTATATGTAACTTTTTTTGGTTTGCATGCTTGCTTGATGCTTAATTTTCCTCACTGCTGAAGGTTTTATAATTACATGCTGTTTATTCTTATATTTATCTTTGATACTGTAAGAGGGGAATGGAAGTTTCTCAGAGTCCTTCTATGGCAAGGCTGTCAAACTCCTGGCCCGCGGGCCGGATGCATCATGTGGCCACACCCATGCCTGGTTTAGCAAAGGGGGGGAAGTCCCGATATGTCACGTGACACTGCCATGACAGCGTAAGTTTGACACCCCTATTCTATGGTAAAGGAGAATAATAAGGAAAGTATTTGGGAATTTCTATTCAAGTCTTATGGTATGAAACGACTCATTAATCTTAGTTTTGTGTAAATAGTTTTATCTTCCTAGGTTAATTCTAAATTAATAGCTAATGTAATATGCAGTTACGTATTAGCCTCAGGAATGCTGAATAGGTATTTTAAAAACAAGGAAAAAGGCCCATTTTATTCCAGGAAACCTCTGGAATGGTTCAGATAATTGTCATTCACGTTTGGGAGAGTTTTTAAAATACGTGGCTAATTCAGCCCTTTCTTCAATACTTTTCTTTTCTTTTCTTTTCTTTTCTTTTTTGCCTGCCTCTGGGGCTCATTTAGTCTCTTGCAAGACCCTGGATCTCTGCCCCATGTCTAAATGTAATGATATCATTACTTATTTTCAACTTGAGACATAATTTGCTCCTTTTGCTAGTTTAGCCAGTAAAAGTATATTCTGATAGTATACCATGATATCATCTATATATTAATTACTACAAAGTCATTGAATTGTTTTAGAAGGGTTTGTTTCAACTTCAAATTTTTAAGAATTCTGTGAGAGCATAAGAGAGAATTCTACAGCCAGGATCCCACAGAAAAATGCCTTTCCTTTCCCAGATCTTAACTGACATGCAGAATTATATTGGAGACAGCAATATTTTACTGTGGGATTCCAATAAACATCTTATTTAAAATATTGGTTACGTATTTTTTCTTATCTACAAGATAATCAGTTGTCATAATTGAAAAATCTAAATATTTAAATTATACACAGATATAAAATAAAAAGTGTTTGAAGTCTTTAGAAACCTGAGTTTCTAGCTTGCTCGTTCCAATAGTCACTGTACAGGTGAATAGATGTACATAATTCTAATACCAAAATAACAACATTGAGAATTCAGTGGGAGACAATCTTATCCTCCCAGGATAATATTTTATTTGTTCCACTCAAAGTGGCTATGCTTCAACAAAAAGGGTTCCAAAGGGAGACTGCAGTGCAAAACAACTAAACCAGAATTTATTTGCATATGTAATTGGATGGTGTTCCAACACAGATGAAAGTGGGAATTATCTTTCCTGCTATGGAAAATGGTTGTCCTCTTTTTGGTGTCAGATTAACATGGTAAGAAAGGAAATATTATTGTCAACGATTGCTGCATTTGCTTCTGCATACAATTGTCACAGGTATAGAACTGTGTCTTATGTTTACAAAATACCACAGTACATATTTGTGTTTTATGTCAGAGGAAGCAACATTAATACAATTTCAGGCATCTAGAACATTGACTTTTTCTCACAGTTATTTCTTATTAGAATTTGTTTTGCTGAATTCAAATGCACTGCCTCCCTCAATTTCTCAATTAAACTGTAAAGCAATTTTCTTCTTGCATCCTTTGTTATCTTCTTCTGTTTTGGGGCAAGTTTGCATCCAGTGATCCCCATTTCCTTTATTATTCCTTTTAAATAACTTTAAAAGTTATTTAACTTTTCTCTGGGCTAGTAAATACATTTTCTGAACACAGAAGATTTTCTTATTTTCTTCTGTATATAATTACCCCTGTGCATAGGTAGTGTGGTATTTCAAAGAAAGGTTTGAGATGCCACTGTCAGTGTACATCTCTCATTCCTTTCCTGATAAACGTTTTTCAGACTTTGAATTATCAGACTGTATGGACAAAGACTTTGATCTGGATAAATAAAACCTATTTTGCCTTTAACAAGGAACAGGAATGGCAATTAGACCCAAACATTCCAGTTAGCTTAATTTCAGCTGTATCATTATCTGCCAGGCTGGGAATGATGATGAAGGAGGATTCTTCTACCAATTTGTTAAGAGATTCTGGCTCAGGTATAAGTCTTGAAGCCAATCCAGTAAGATCTGGCAGAGTTTAAATGTGATTTAAAACAGGTGCAAGAAAAAAGTCTCACTATGAAGAATGAATGCCCAGGAAACAATTATACAACTCAATCATAATATTCTTGTGTTACAAAATACAGATGATTGTAAAGGACCATAAAAAGAAATTAAATAAATACTTTGATAACCCAGCCAAAGGGACAAATTTAGTGATTGTTTGGAATGCTAGTAAAGCAGTTAAGAGAGACTATTTATACAATATAATTGTCTAGAGAAGAAGAAATCCCAGGAAAAGATGCAAAAGATCTTGGATGAAATTAGAAACAAAGAAATTCAATTTCAAAAGACACCTATGGACTCTAAAAATGTACATCAGATTAAATTGTTACATCAACAATTGTCTGTGTTAACAGTTCCAGAAATAGAAACTAAATTGAATTAAGTGAAACAAATATATTTTGAATTTGCAATTAAACCAGGAAGGCGGCTGGCATATAAATAAAGAAAGGAAAAAGAAAAGAAAATGATTGAGAAAATTCATGAAGGTGACAATGTAATAAAGACAATGATCTTATTTAAAAAATCCTTTTACAACTTTTACTCTAATCTATACAAGAAACAGGAACTCAACATGCATAAAATAGACGAATATCTGCAAAGACAACACTTACCTACACTTTCACAAGCTCAGAGACAACTTATAAACGATCTAGTAACTACTTTCAAAATATCAAAAAATTAAAAAAATGAAACCAGGTAAAGATCCAGGTCCAGGTGGCCTTACAAGGCAATATTATAAATGCTTTGAGGATTAACTTCTTCAGCCACTAAAGGATATAATGAATGGAGTATTACAGGGAGCAAAGATGCTTCAGAACTGGCAAGAAGCTAATCTTGCATTATTACCAAAGAAAGGGGCAAGATGTCAAGATAAAAACCATAGATTAATGTCATTATTAAATAATGAATATAAACTTTTTGCTGCAATTTTGGCAGAGGGATTGAAAAAGGTTTTACAGACATACATTCATGAAGATTAATCTTCCTTTTTATCAAAAGACAGGCAAGAGACAATGTGAGAACTGTTTTGAACATTATTGAATGCTTACAATATAATGAGAAACAGGCAGCTTTAATATTTTTGGATGCAGAGAAGGCCCTTGACAATTTAAATTGGGTTTTTGTGTTTAAAGATTTGGAAGATAAGGATTTGGAGAGAAATTTATTCACGGGTCAAAGCAAGCAAAGATGATTATTAATGGAGATTTAACTAAACCATGTGAAATTCAAAAGGATATGAGACAAGGATGCCCCTTATCTCCTCTGCCATTTATATGGTGTTGGAAGTTTTGAATAGGGATATTAGGCAAGATGAAAAAATAACAGGTATAAATATAAAAAAGGAAGTTTAGATAAATTGAGAGCATTTGCTGATGATTTAGTTCCGTTTTTGTAAGACTCCCCAAAACTAATATAGAATATTTGATGAAGAAACTAAATGAGTGGAGTTTTAGTGGACTTTAAAATAAATAAGTAAACAGTGTTAAAATTCTTTCAACAAGAAAATGATCAGAATTAGTTTCAATATTATTATTGTACAATTCCTTCCTCCTATCACAACAGATAAGATTTTACGTATATTTTGCCAGGAATCAGTAAAGTTATATTAGAAATGGGGTTCTAACTAAAGTGAAATATCAAATTATCCTGATTTTACTAAACAAATTTCAGAAAAACCAGAAACAAAGGCTCAAAGTCTTGGCAGATGAATACATCATGCATTTTCCAGTCACATTTTGTGTTAATAATAAATATCAGATTCACAGATTTGACAGTGTTTATTTTATTTATTTAATTTATATAGCTGTCCCTTTCAACAAAAGTGACTCTGGGCAATGTACAATAAAGCTAAAACAATGAATAAATACATGCAAACCCCTATCAGTATTAATTATAGAGACATTGAAAAAAAAGTATAAAAACAAAACAAAGGAGGAAATAACAGATGGAGGGATGTT